CCGGATCCCCCCCTCCCCAAAATGCCCTCCCCAAAAACTTCCTCCACCCCCCACTTCCCACCTGGCCATTCAGCCCAGGTTATTTCTCCCTGCACTTCAGGCAGGAGGTGCCTGGCCATCTCACCATCCCCACCTAGGACACCTATGGCCACCCACTCCTGTTTGGCCAGAAGGTGCCGCACCCCGTATTTTTGTAGGTCCTACCAAAATAGCTTTCTCTGAGCAAGCTATGCACACACACACACAAGCTGCCCTCATGCCAACAGCCGGGAGGCAAAAAGAGTGTCACGTCTGACCTCAGACGTGTCCCCATCCACCAAACCACCACAGAGGACTGGATCTAGAGAAGGCTGCAGGAGCAGGGCCCACAGGGGAGCTGGCACAGACGAATTAATCTGGGGCACCGGGAAAGATGCCGGTTCCATTTTGCCGCCCGCCAGGCCCCACACGCCCACTGCCTGCAGCAGGGTGCAGGATCCCAGGAGCCTATGGCACCTCGATGACCCTAAATCTCACCCCCAGAGTGTCCATGGGGCAAAGCCTTCCTGAAAGAGCCCCCTTTCCCCACGGCCAGGTAGGGGGAACCCAGGGGATACAAACATGGGATGAAGGCAATTGGGGGGGGGTCTGGGTATGGGAGAGACCCTGTCCCCGTAATGGTGGGGCAAAATCCATGCTCCACAGCCCCACGGGACCAATGCTGACCCTGCCACCATGGGGTGCGCACCTTTGCATGTGCCCTTCCGCAGGGCACAGGGGGCAAGACTTCTCCTGGCACTGCCCCATGCACTGGCTGGGTTGGGTCTGCAAGCAAGTGCCTGGCACTGATTTACACCCCAGAGCGGGCAAACCCCCCCCCCCCTGCGCTCAGCCAGGTCCCTGCCCGCCGGCCAGCCCCTCACCCCAGGCCCCCACGCCCCTAACCTTGCTCCTCATCTGCCCCGAGGTGGACACCTTCCGGATGAGCTTGTGGGAACTGTCCTGCTCGCCCTCGCTGTCAGATGACTCCTCGCCGCCCGCCTCAGGCGAGATGGGTGCCAGCTTGTCCGAATCCAGGGATGACACTGATTCCCGGGTCTTCCTCAGGAACAGGTCCCCGGGCACCAGCTTCTCAGCCATCTTCCCACCCAGCTTGGCTCAGGGCTCCGCCGCCTCCTGTGACAGCCCTGGGAGGACAAGGACACACAGGTGTGGGAGAAGAGCCCTGAAAGGGGGTGCACAGTCCCTCACCCTCTACGGCTTGGCCAGCCGGGAGGTGCAATCCTGGAAATCAAGGGAGACAGCGC